TAGGGCACTAACTTTTTGTCCCCTATTTGTTAGACTACTCCATGATGAGAATTGAATAATACCATCTGCCTTTGTTTGAGCTGAAACTTTTCAGCAGCTTTTCAACGACGACCTTTGAAAACATGTGTGTATATATATATATAAATATCAAGATCCTGTATTTTCTAGGATTTTTTGTGACATGAAAATGATTAGCATTTTTGTGCATACGCAAGAAGACTACCTTAATTTATTATGAATATAAAGCAAAGAATGGTTTGGAATGGAAACTAAATGTATTTGGAACATTCTTTCATTATACCTGTTCAGCTCTAACTTCACTTTTTTAATCCAAAGTTCAAGACTGTGTCATTCCATTCAAATATTTATTTTTTATAAAGATAACTTTATTAATAATTGCCTCCTTATTTGACTACAAAGAAGTGCTGTTATTTCTTTATGTGCACATTATGGAAATAGTTACCAAAATAATTTCTTGATTTCCCTTCACTCCTGTCCAGGTTTTGTTATCTTTTTTTTTTAAAAAAAGGGAAAACTCTGGAAATTATTTTAAATGTTTACAAGCTTTACCCTGCAAGAAGTATTTATTTATTTATTTTATTCAAGAGAAGAGCAAATTTTTAATTGACCTCCAACCTCTTATATGGAGGTGTCATTTCAGATGGTACAGGACTTTCTTGTTCAGCAGAAAATGGTACAGTGACATGATAGAGAGTAGAAACTGAAGTTAAAGAAATTAATGTTATACACAGGAGAAGTAATTAACAACTGAAACAAGCTGATCTAAAGGCTTGAGAATTTTCAACTTTTTAACATCTCAATTTAAAGACTGGATGTCTTTCTAAATTCATGCTCCAGTTGAACGAGAAACTTGCTGCAGGGATTATCGGGTAATGCTCTATGGCTTATGTTAAGAAGGGACTCAAATTAGCTGGAACATAACAGCTCCTTCTGTTCTTAAAATCTGTGAATCATCCAAAAACTTTTCCACCAAACCCACAGAAGATAAGAATGAGGACTGCAAATATTTCTGAAGGGGGGAAAAAAGAAGCAAATAATCCTTCTAAAAAACCCACATATGTATGTGAGGATTTCAGCAGTAACTTGAAAATATGAAGTACAGTTGAACTGTCAAGCCAGTTCTAGACAGAGAAAAATTGCTAAAAACTTGTAACACTGGTAGCATTTCTGGCACATTCCTCTCAAGTGCAGTATCAGCCTCTCTCCTGCCTTTTTCACCCACCAACCTCCTATCTCACTCTTGCACTTCTTTTATCACTTCCCTTACCATTCTGTTCTTTAGGGCTTGTTTTTACTTTTGACATTATCAGGCCCAGTTACAAGAGAGACTTCTCCACATCCTTACCTTGTGCACAGAGCACAGGCAGTCAGGAGCAGAGTGGAGTCAACAAGAAGAGACCAAAGACATGTGACAGAGCAACCTAAGTCCCCGCTACCAGCACCAACCACCCTGTCACATGCTGGACCCCAAATTAATAAGCATAGTGCCTTCTTCCTGTGTAGCCTCTGCTGCACTTCAGCACGTCTTGCACTTTATGAGTAAATTCATGTGAAAAAACAATGTAGGAATGTCATCAGCGAAGTGGGCAACCAAGGAAAACATGAGTTGATATCGACATGTGACAAGCTCCTGAAGAAATGGGCTAAATGTGAAACTCTGTCAGGTTTTTATGAAATACAGGAGCCTTAATGCTCATTGTCAAAGTAATGACCTGGGATAAGATTTGCTGCAAAAAGTTTTGTTTGCTGACAGACCTGATTGTGTTGGCATAACTCACTGCAGTGACAGCACACTTGTGGAGCAAGGACAGAAGGAACAAACTGCATGTATGTCTGTAATTTGGTTTGCGTGCAGGGGATCTTCCCAGGTGGGTACATTCAGAAGCAGCTATGCATCCCAACCCATTTGGTTGACCACAGCTGCAGATTTATTCTTAGTTTCAGGAATGCAAATCCTTGCAGACATGCCTATGGCTTCATGTCAGCAAGGAGACAGGTTTTCTCCTCAAAATATTTCTCTTTCAGTGGATGGGTCAGTTTCCTTATGAGGTGGATGATGGGGGTCTAGTGTTATCTGATTCCTAAGCCATGTCAGCCACTTGAGGTATCAAAAAGACCTGCCTGGATTAGACTGGCCTTGCTAGTTCTGTAACCTGTAACTACATACAGTGCAGAGTGTTTCACTAAGAAACTCTACTGTAGGCATGTGACTGAAGAATAAGATGCAGACAAGTTCCTTCTGCTCTGCAACCTTGTGAAGGAAAGTGAGAATACGCATACTGCAGGCTAGTATGACTGGATGGATGCTGTATCCTTGTGCTGGCATAGCACTGCAACTCAGCCCACAGGCCACCAGTCCAGGTGATATGCCATGTGGCTTTACAAGCCTTAATCTTTGTAAGCTCAGGCCTCTCTGCAGTATCCTCCACTTTCCAGAGCAGGTATCCACTCCTTGGCTAAACTAAGACCAGCAGAATAAACTCAGGCAAACACAAGAACCATAAAAAAATTCAGCATTTCTCCATCAACCAGGAGTGCAAAGCATGTTTCCTTGATGCATTTGCCCTAGAAATCCAGAACAATGTCCATGCATATTCTAGAGAACTTCTTCCAGCCACTCCAGTGCACAGACATCTTCTCTGAGAACAAACATGCACCCAAAATTATCCTGCTATCCCCTGGGAGAGAGTTTGGGTCTTCATGTAATAAACATACCAGAACAGCAAGAACATCAAGGTTTCTATTTCTTTCAAAAGCTGACGGATTATAGTTTGCTCATTTAGCCTTTAATATTTATCATGATGACTCTGAATATCTTAAGCAGTGCTAAACAACCTCCTATCCAATCTCCTTCCTTTGGAAATATGTTTCTTAACCAGGTGAAAATGTTTGTCCTTTTTACCTACTAAGCCCTGCTTAGTCAAGCTAATCAGCTAAGTCAGCTCCTCTGCTTTTAACCTTCCATATTCTTAGGACTTCCTTAGGCATTAAAGTCAGCTCCTCTGCTTTTAACCTTCCATATTCTTAGGATTTCCTTAAGCATTGCAAGCCCCAGCTTGTGCCCCATGACATCTCATTAAAATGACCTTACTGCTCAGACCCTTACGTAGTAGCATAACCAGCTGCTGCTCAGTAGAAGTCAAAGGAGGAACACTGATTTATGACATCTGTCCCTTTGTTACCTTTGTATCTGTTGACTGACCCTTTAATGAAAATAAGCACAGGGAAGGGAAAAAACTGACATAGGAATAAGACCCAGGTTTTCTACCTTAATGAACCCAAACACTTCACTTGAAAGACAACCCCTGGGGAAATTAGGACATGGCAATAGTCTTCACCAGTTTCTAGATGAACTATAAAAATATGCTGAATTTCTGTAACAAGGAAGCAAATTTGCACCAATTAATGATGCTATCAACAAAAATCTCCTGCTTTTAAGAACATATGCAAACTTCTCTCTCAGCTAGGTGCTGGCTGATTTTGTATGTTAAAGGAATTATTCAATCTTGCTAAGTAATGTGGCTGAACACATGTATCCTTTTGTGATGCAAAGCCACGGAAACTTCAAATAGCAATAGAGCTCCATACAAGCTATTTGCTCTGTAGTCTTCAAAGAGCTGAAGCATTCACTGAGCAGAAAACAACATGCACTCATTCACTCATGAATCTGACAATGTGTAATATTGTTAGTAGACTGTACTTGCCAAGAATGCTAGCAACAAATCAAATGTAATGAAATGGAAAGTCAGACAGCTTAGAAATGATTTATATAGAATTAAGTCTTTGAGGAAGGACAACGAACTGGTTTCTCAGACCAGTCTGACAGGGTCCATATCATAAATGAAAACATCTAAGCCAAGCAAAGCATTCTACTGCCAGGGTTTCAAAGGATGAGGAGAAAAGTATTAATACATGAAGTCCTAGTGAAACAAGTAGACCAGTCCATTCACATAAGGTGCCTCCTACTGTTTCATATATTGTGTACCTCCACAGTATTCCAGTAAAATAGCGACAATCGATAATGGAAACAATAAATGTAGGGGGATAAAATCCTGTCTCTCTTGAAGTCAAAGCCAAACTTCACCATTTTCAGAATCAGGATTTCATCCTTGACTGCTTTTATTTTTAAGCACACACGGTGAGAAGGTGATTGGCTTTCAGCACTCAGGCCCTGAAATTGTTGCCTGCTCTTAAAAAAAATTGTGTTATCAGATTTTAAGAGATTTATTTAACACTTAGCTCCACTGGCTTCTTACCCATTTCAGGAACCTGTTAACAATAACTAAAATAAATAACTTTGCTTGTTTCCATCATCATTGGCACACTGGCTCCATACATTCTTTATTCACCTCCCTCTGTCCATCTTGCCTTGTTTCATTGCTCACTCTAGTCATGGTCAATGTGAGAACTATTTCCTTACCCATTCACTGCCTCTTTTCAAGACTCAGCTGAAAGTGACTGTTTCTTCTAGCCAATATAATAACAAGAAGGTTTTAATATTTCATTCAGGTATGCCACTTGGAAAAAGATGAGTGATTGTCCAGGATATTCTCAAGATCTCCTGAATACACAACACTACACTATATATCTCCTCCCTAAAAGAGGCAAGAAAAAGTCTTCTACTGCTTACAGGTTTTCAGAGGGGAGCCTGCTAAAATTCAAGGGAATCTGCCACCATAAATGGTGCAATCCCACAAGATAAGAGTGGGGAATAGCCTGACAAAACATCTGCCTATGTCAACAGTGAAACAAAGCTCCATCAGACACTGATCCCAGCAACTCCACTACCACCACACCCCCACTGACAGCTGGGCATGCTTGCAAAGCATGTCTTCTCCTCCATGACACTGCTCAAAGACTGTTCCCTGACAGCTCTGCCTTAGGACTTTATAGCAAAAGCATGTAGAGTGCTATAAATGCTTCACTTTCCCTTGCTGCAAACAGACAAAGATTTTATTTCTCCTTTATTTCTTACTTACTTGGGATAGCGTCTCTGCTGAAAGATGGGCAGAATCTCTGTATCTTGATTTGAATGAAGAAGCAGTATATCCCGAAATCTTTCTGTCAGGACAAAGAAAAAAAAAGAAGAAAAGAAAAAAAAACAAACCCAGACTGTGACTCTGCTTTGTAAGTTCAGGCCACAAGTAAGCAAGCAGTAATACCAGTGAATTCTCTTCTCCCACAACATTTAGCAGAGGACAGAACTAACTGTACGGGGACTAAAAAAAAAATCCTGTTTCCTGTAAAACCATTTAATATTTTAAAATGTACTTTTTCTTCATCCAATATTGAATTCTAGTAGTGCTTGTAAGTTTCTGAGCTCTGCATAGAGGTCTTCTGGGTATCATACACAGATGGCCATAAACAGTCCCTGCCTTGAAGAGCTTAGTCTAAACAGAAAGGAGGAGCCACTAAGAATTCACCAGCCACTCAAGGACCACAGTAGTCTAAACAAACATAAACTAATTAATTCATCTAAATTAAACTGTACAAATCCTTCAGTAACTGATTCACTGGGATTTTCAAGGATGGCCAGAAGACTGAATTGCTTTTTCTTTACTACTATATATTTAAAAAACTGAATGATAGGTTCATCTACAGGAGGTAAAGCTTTTGAAACTAAGCTTCAGCAACCACCACGTGAACAGGTGGTTGTGGTTTGTGCAGCTGCCTTTCTCTAGAGATAGTTAGATACAATACATCAAGTGCGACCTGTAGGACCTTCTACCAGTACCGACTTCTCAGTTCCTGGAAGATGGAAACCTCCTCAAAATTCACTCTATATCCAGATTCAGGGACAGAATGGAATTTCCCACTCAGATGACCCTTTAGCACACCCCCCATGGCATGGGACATGCTCTGTTTCCTTCTTTCCTTCAATCACCTGCAACTTTTAATCAGACCTACAGTGGCACAGAACCTAGGACACAGGTGATGTCCTTCCCATCTCCTACTCTTTCTGCAATGCCTTACAACTGTGGCTTAAAGTCTTCAGCTACAGGTGTTATCCTTCACTTGTTAAACCACAGTTTGTAGCCTGTGTTGTGTGCAGCAACTGTACTATGGATTTCTCTAAAGTAACTCTCTTCCACTGAGTTTTTAATTCTGGGAACTGAACCTGAGGGTAAGTGTAGTCCTCCTCCTGTTAGATCCCTATGTATCTCAAAATATCCTCTAATACTATGTTTATGGATAAGGAAATCAAGGGACAGAATTACATTTGGTTTCATGTAATGCTATGTCATCATAACTAAACTCCATTAATTTGGATACAATTCTGCTATGTAGCCTCTATAATGTAAAATACCCCACCCAAACCCATACTTCATAAAGTTGCAACACCTTGAAGAAAGCATAATAAATTCAGAAGAAAAAGTCTTGTAAAGAACTCAGTTTTAAAGGTCAATTGTCTCACACCTCTCGTCTCTTTTTTTTTTTACTAAGATGTACTGCAAACATCTTGGACAAGACACCAGGATCTGCCAGTGAGGAAACAAGGACTTATCTTTGTTCCTTTATTTCTATACCTCTTCAGATTCAATTTTGAAAGAAATAAGCATTCACCTCCAAAATTCTTACCACATCTTCAAATTGTAACATAGCTTTCCTGTACCTAACTAGGACAGAGACTGGGTGTGGCCAACAAAAATAAATGCAGTGCTGTAAAGGCAGAAGTGAAACCCAGGGAGCACCTTTCAGAGAACAGCCTGCTCATTGTCTTGACAAAAAGCTTGCTGTGACAGCTACTTCTTGATCTCTTCTAAAATTTTTAGGAAGATGCAGAGATTTGCTTTTCTCTTAGTCCTCTGGTACATGGCAATATGCTGTACGTGGGCATGTCCTGTCATCCTTAAGAAGGATGTACTATGATCTTTAAAAGCCACTTGGCAAGAACTGAAAGGCTTCAGAAAGCTTTCACTGAGGCAAAATATCCCACTGTATATGTTCCACAGCTAGCACACTAACTTCCACCTCTACCTCAGGAATCTCCCATTGCAACTCAAGCTACTGGTGCATTTCCCACTCCTGCCATCAGGCAGAGGGAGCAAACCAAGTAGATAAGGGGAATGGAAACAGGTCCCTGATGGAAGAGGTAAAAGAATCTCCTCCTGACCCCCATCACCTTCCCAGTTGCACTTAAAAAACAGGTATGAGGCTCTGGACCCAGAAAGTCAGGCAGAGGACAGTCAAAATAAAGATCCAGCTGGAAGATCTCTAGCTTGTAACACATCTTCTAGACTCATTACTACCAGAGCTTCAGAGAAAAAAAGAAGGGTAATTGTATTAGGCAACTCCCTTCTGAAGGGAACTGAGGGCCTTATATGCCAACCGGACCCATCCCACAGGGAAGTGCTGCCTACTCAGGGCTTGGGTAAGGGATATCAGCAGGAGACTCCCTGAGCTCCTTCGGCGCTATGATTACTACCCACTGCTAGTTGTCCAGGCTGGCAGTGATGATATCAACAAAAGAGGCATTAGGGCAATTAAAAAGGATTTCAATAAACTGGGAAGACTGGTTAATGGGACAGGAGCACAGGTGGTGTTTGTCTCAGTCCGTGCAGTAGCAGGGATCAATGAGGAGGAGTAGGAAAACCAGCCTTATCAATAGGTGGCTAAAGAATTGGTGCAACCGGCAGAATTTTGGCCTTTTTGACCAGGAGGCATATTCTGTGTTACCAAGCCTGCTCGGGTCAGATGGGCTTCATCTCTCTAGCAGGGGCGAAAGAACTCTAGCCCATAATTTGGCAGGGCTGATCAGGAGGGCTTTAAACTAGGTTCACAGGGGGAAGGACTTGAAACCAGGCTTGCTAGAGATGAGCCTCAGGGTGGGCAGCCAGAGTTAGGAGTTAAATCATCAGCCCATGTACACCAACGCACGCAGTATGGGTAATAAACACGAGGAGATGGAAACCATCATGCAGCAGGAAAACTATGAC